ACGCAGACACTAATGACTTTTTCGCCATAATGCGTAGAAAAGCAGCGTCTCTCCTGCAGCGCTTACCCTCCTTAATTGCTGCCAGGCCCGACTGCCCCATACTGCACCACTGTATGACGGTAGCTACTGGGCGAAAAAAATAATTTGTACATAATTCACATTAACTAACAATACTAACTTAGAAGTTAAGGAAAATTGTTACTAACATACTAACAATCTATGTATGTTCCTTACGTCTGAAATAAACACTTATTATCCCTTTCGCTCTGACAGCGCGCGACATGTTATACTCCCGTTCGCTCGCGACCTTTTTGGCGGGAAAATTTGCAAATTAGCAAATTTTTTGCTATATTGCAAATTTTGCTATATTTTCACTTTGAGACAATATTTATGGATAAAACTTACAGGAATTCTTGTTGAATGTATAAACTATTGAATAAAATTATTTTGGTTGTTAGAAATTATAATAAAATTCATAAATTACCCTTTATAGCATAAGTAGTAGTATATACTTCACTTTTAGTGCCAAAATTACTACTAATTTGAATTCTACACTTTTGTTTTTGGAGAAATTTATATCAAATTGTTTGGAAATATGTATATTTTCATGTTTTATGTGTTTCCATTCGTTACTCATACCAAAATATAAAATATAAAGAAATTAAAAAAAATTAAATATTAATATTTTATCTGTGTGACATTTAGAACAATATTTCTAAAATAGTTTTGTGTGAATTTGAAATAAATACAACGTCAAGTTATTTGAAATATGTAAGAAAACTATTTTTACTTACATTTTACACTAAAAATAAATGAGAATGTGAAAAATACCACATTTATGACCCAGCCGCCATAATTGGCCTTCCAGATTTTGAAGCACTTTTGGCAATTTACTTTTCACTTTTTATACCACAAATTATATATATATGTGTTCACTATATTACAAGGAATATAAAAAAAGTATAATACTTTCGTTTTTAGTCCAGACACAATTATAAAATTCTATAAAAAAGATGGAGCACATTCATCAAAACGACACGTGGAACGCCGAAAGTTCAGAGTGATTTCTTTTTTTTTTTTCTAAGAAACATTGCCAGGTTATGGTTTAAAATAAAAGAGCATATCTTTGTCTTTGATACTATTATCTATTGCATATTGTCTTTGGTTTTGTTTTAAAGGAAAAAGTAGTTTTTTCATAAGGCAGTACTTCTGATATTATCTGATCTAATTAGCCCCGTACTAGAGCGGGCGTAAGGTAGGTATTGTATGATCTGATTAGATTGTTAGCCGAGCGAAAGGGTTATTATTATTATTATTACATTATCTCCGCGAACATGCCCCTAATAAGTTTTATATATCCAGTGACTAAATACTATGTTGATACAGTAAACTCAAACATGTCAAACATACATTTTACTCAGATGCCAATGTTTTCTTTACGTTGAAATTTAAGTTACTTTAAATGAATTAAGATTGACTTAAAGATTGATCTCATAATCTGCCTTAAGTATAACATTTTTTTATATCCTAGGAAAAAAATAAAAACTGTCTAAACCATTAGTTAATTTTTTAAAGTTACTTATCTTGCTTTTTATAATATGTGCAGTTGCAAAGTTCCTTAAGTCGTGATTACATAATTTTCGTGAAAGAAAACAGTTAAAGTGGCTTATAGGGATTTAATTTTAATTTTTAGGTGGTAAAGTGATATTTTTGTAACATTTTTCACAACAGTTAATTTAATTAATAAACATTTTCATACATGGTAATTATGTTTCAATCATTTTTCATATAAACTTAAAATATTCTTGCAACCACCACTGCATTGTGTCTGATTAAAATACTTTACTAATTAAAGCCGCAATAACTAACACATTGCACTTATGGTTGGAAAGAAACTACAGGACATACAGTTTATGCTACTCAAAAGAGCAATTTGTCGGTTTACTAACGATAACTGCAATAAGTAGTCTACTTATTGCGGTTATGATTAGTAACTCTCTATCAAAACAATTAACAGTCCTACAGATAAATACACTATTGTGTTTTTAAAGTCTATATAAATGTATGTACCAATATAATATACTACAAAGAATTCTGCATCATTTTATCTGTTGTATAGTAAAATGTTTCAAGTCAATAGCTATCATAGTTACGAAGATACAGACAAAACAAAAATTAAATCTTTAACTGCGATTATCTCGAAAGTAGCCAAAACCAAGTTATTGCACTCTTCATAAGAAGGGCAGTAATATCTATAAAATTCTGTCAGATTGCTTCATGGCAGCAATGTTGCCAATGTAGTTATCAGCAAGATGCCGCTGCCCAGCTCCTGTTCCTGTTTCCCTCTGTCGGCTCTTACGACACCCGTCCCGTGGGTAGGTATATATTAGTGTGAGTAGTTATCAGCAAGATGCCGCTGCCCAGCTCCTGTTCCTGTTTCCCTCTGTCGGCTCTTACGACACCCGTCCCGTGGGTAGGTATATATTAGTGTGAGTAGTTATCAGCAAGATGCCGCTGCCCAGCTCCTGTTCCTGTTTCCCTCTGTCGGCTCTTACGACACCCGTCCCGTGGGTAGGTATATATTAGTGTGAGTTGTTATCAGCAAGATGGCGCTGCCCAACTCCTGTTCCTGTTTCCCTCTGTCGGCTCTTACGACACCCGTCCCGTGGGTAGGTATATATTAGTGTGAGTAGTTATCAGCAAGATGCCGCTGCCCAACTCCTGTTCCTGTTTCCCTCTGCCGGCTCTTACGACACCCGTCCCGTGGGTAGGTATATATTAGTGTGAGTTGTTATCAGCAAGATGGCGCTGCCCAGCTCCTGTTCCTGTTTCCCTCTGTCGGCTCTTACGACACCCGTCCCGTGGGTAGGTATATATTAGTGTGAGTAGTTATCAGCAAGATGCCGCTGCCCAACTCCTGTTCCTGTTTCCCTCTGCCGGCTCTTACGACACCCGTCCCGTGGGTAGGTATATATTAGTGTGAGTAGTTATCAGGAAGATGCCGCTGCCCAGCTCCTGTTCCTGTTTCCCTCTGCCGGCCCTTACGACACCCGTCCCGTGGGTAGGTATATATTAGCGTGAGTAGTTATCAGCAAGATGCCGCTGCCCAGCTCCTGTTCCTGTTTCCCTCTGTCGGCTCTTACGACACCCGTCCCGTGGGTAGGTATATATTAGTGTGAGTAGTTATCAGCAAGATGGCGCTGCCCAACTCCTGTTCCTGTTTCCCTCTGTCGGCTCTTACGACACCCGTCCCGTGGGTAGGTATATATTAGTGTGAGTAGTTATCAGCAAGATGGTGCTGCCCAACTCCTGTTCCTGTTTCCCTCTGTCGGCCCTTACGACACCCGTCCCGTGGGCAGGTATATATTAGTGTGAGTTGTTATCAGCAAGATGCCGCTGCCCAGCTCCTGTTCCTGTTTCCCTCTGCCGGCCCTTACGACACCCGTCCCGTGGGTAGGTATATATTAGTGTGAGTAGTTATCAGCAAGATGCCGCTGCCCAGCTCCTGTTCCTGTTTCCCTCTGTCGGCTCTTACGACACCCGTCCCGTGGGTAGGTATATATTAGTGTGAGTTGTTATCAGCAAGATGGTGCTGCCCAACTCCTGTTTCTGTTTCCCTCTGTCGGCTCTTACGACACCCGTCCCGTGGGTAGGTATATATTAGTGTGAGTAGTTATCAGCAAGATGCCGCTGCCCAGCTCCTGTTCCTGTTTCCCTCTGTCGGCTCTTACGACACCCGTCCCGTGGGTAGGTATATATTAGTGTGAGTAGTTATCAGCAAGATGCCGCTGCCCAGCTCCTGTTCCTGTTTCCCTCTGTCGGCTCTTACGACACCCGTCCCGTGGGTAGGTATATATTAGTGTGAGTTGTTATCAGCAAGATGGTGCTGCCCAACTCCTGTTTCTGTTTCCCTCTGTCGGCTCTTACGACACCCGTCCCGTGGGTAGGTATATATTAGTGTGAGTTGTTATCAGCAAGATGGTGCTGCCCAACTCCTGTTTCTGTTTCCCTCTGTCGGCCCTTACGACACCCGTCCCGTGGGCAGGTTTATATTAGTGTGAGTAGTTATCAGCAAGATGCCGCTGCCCAGCTCCTGTTCCTGTTTCCCTCTGTCGGCTCTTACGACACCCGTCCCGTGGGTAGGTATATATTAGTGTGAGTTGTTATCAGCAAGATGGTGCTGCCCAACTCCTGTTTCTGTTTCCCTCTGTCGGCCCTTACGACACCCGTCCCGTGGGCAGGTATATATTAGTGTGAGTTGTTATCAGCAAGATGGTGCTGCCCAGCTCCTGTTTCTGTTTCCCTCTGTCGGCTCTTACGACACCCGTCCCGTGGGTAGGTATACAGGGCAGTGGATATTCTTAAACCGCTACTACACGGTCCACAGTATTATACTTCTTATTAATAAAAGTTCATTGCTTGATGGTTCATTCCCATTATAATGAAGTATTTGTATGGCAGGCACCTTGATGATCACTACCAATCATGTGCCTTCAATGCTGTTTCCCATTGCCATACGAGAGAATGTTTTTTCTACTGCAAAGTTAATGTTATTAAAGCAGTGTTCTATATTTTACGAATTACAGTGAGTCAAGTATTTAGTTTTTTGACACTAATTATGTAACTTTATTATTTTATATATAATGTAATATATATAAAAATGAAATATTATCTACATATAGGTAATATTACTCAGTAAACAAATGTTGATCTTTGTCAATTTACATTCATAAGTCTGAAACGATTGATTGTTGAGACTCAATACTTGGAATGTATGAACTATCTACATTCTTATTTAAGTTTATTCGGAACCCTCACTTTTGTCCGGTTTTCATTATTATTAGTACTTGTTGTCAGGAAGTGCTGCTGCCTACCTCATGTTTCAGTTTCCTTCGGTCCCTTGTTACGACATCTGCGGGATGGTACGGGGCGGTATGGATTCTTCTATGCCACCACTACACTGAATTTTTCGCTTATTTAATAAAATAATTTGTTTTCAGGTAATACCAAAATCACATGAGGCTAGAGATGACATTCAATTCACATCAATTCATCATGTAGATATCTGGCCAGTAGAGTGTGATATAGAAAATGATTGTAATGATGACATTTTTAGCCTTGAATCTGTTAAAGTTGAGGAAGAGAATTTCGAATATGAGAATTACAAATTTGAAGTAAATGGGAATCATGAGAAAGGTAAGTAAGATATTATTATTATTTATTTAATTTCAAGTATCCAGGACTCATGTTTTTCAAATTATAACTATTAAAAAAAAATTAAAAATCAAATAATCTAACAAAATACGATGCAACAAATATATTTAACCTATTAATTATTACTAAATGCTGTAATGCACTTAACAGCAGTCAAATTAGCTGCTGCGCACATGCAGTTGACAACAATGTTGCAGATAGGGACAGTTCACTCTGTCACCTATCATTTTAAGAATGCCATTGGGGCTGGCCCTTACCCTACGCACCAGCGATGCAGCTCTTTTACGCAAAGTTGCGTAAAAACAATCTACATGTGCTTGAGCAAACGTCGCTGATGCGCTGCAGCGTCGGGCCAGCCCCATCAGCACCCGGAACGCGTTGTTATACTGGATCCGGAGATATAACCTTTTTTGATATTATTTAAATGAAGTACAATTTATCTTATGACGAGTGCTACTGTAGCCCATGAACACAAAATGGTTAAAGATATTTTATTCTCAAAAGAAATATAAATTTCACTTAATGAGAAGTTACAATATTCAAGTTATAAATGGGTTATGAGCATATAGATAGCAAATATACATATATATATATATATATATATATATATATATATATATATATATATATATATATATATATTGTTACAAATAGAAACACAGATTGACTTTTTAAAAAGATTTTAATGGCCTTTGGCCTAACAAATATTGACTAACTTAAAAGCTTAAAACAAGATTTAAAATAATGACGCTAGTATTCGAGCAAAGCTTCCGCACTCCGTGATGACCGGCGGCAAAAAGGGGCGAGTGACGCCAGCCGCCCTCCTATATAGCCCGGCGCGGCGTCGGCGCTCTTGATTCAGACCTTCTCTTCTAACACGGCCTCTCCTGACGGGGCTGCGTGCTTGAAGCCCTCAGCAGGAACTCGTGGATGGCTCAGCAACACTCACCGCGTCCCGCGGCTGTTCGACGTCACCATCGTCGATCTCTGAGAAGATACCCACAATCTAAGAGACATTTATTTATATCGCGTATTAACAGTTGATCTAAATTCATATAGTTCATAAAAGCGTCAGATTATGTACCCAATTAGCCAAACAAGTCAGTCAGTCAGAACAGTCAACATGAACAGTTATCAACGCTACACAAAAGCGTTTCAAGTCACATAGGTTTTACACCGGTCTCTTCCCCGCAACCGAATACCCCGCACAAACTCGCGTGTGCAAACAGGATTTACATCAGTCTCTAGCAGGTCACCCCAGATACCTAATAATGGCTGGATTTACACAGGTCTGTTGTCGGCTGCGCCACCGACTCACCCCAGAAACCACCAGTGTCAGGGTCAACCCAATACCATGCGCACAGGATTTACACGGGTCTCTTCCACTGAACACAACACGTAACGTAGTCAAAATCAGTAAACACGGGCTTGTTTGGTACATAATCTAGCTCAAGAATAGGGAAAGATTATCTTCTCGACTGTCACAGCACCAACACATGACCAAGCGCATTCGCCGCGGCACCTCTAAAGGAACTCGCGCGATCGCGGTACGTGTAATCAGATTTGCGATTTCTGCAAAAGTCCCGTATGACAGCTATAAACAAAGCATACATCGTTTGAGTCATTATAAAATAAGCTAACAAATTACATACGAATCAGGACAGCTCCCTTCGTAACACATTATCAATTCTATTTTGAAATTGATGTAATCGAGCTCCTCCTACTTCAATACACATAAGTCGTTACAATCACAAAAGCAAACCTTTATTCGACAAACATTTTACTTTACCCACTTAAAACATATTTAACATAAATCCATAAAAATAACATAGCTCTCGACACATTTTTTTCACCCCACAAGCTCTACGATAACATGCCTCACTTAAGTGACCCGATAAGGTAAGTTTTGGGTAAGTTTAAAGTCAGAGTCGAGAATACTGCAAATTAAGTGGTTTATGTAATAATTTATGTCCCGTTTGGGTTCACATTCTTATCACAAACATAGTTTTAACTTTTAGATAAGAAATATAGCAAAAAAATATAGAAATACGTGGGAACTGATCGAGCTCCACAAGGCACTTGACATAATATTATGCGCCTTTGTTTACTCCAATATTCCAGAGGCCTGTTGACAGATGAGGGGTTATTAGGTATGTAAAATAACAAAGCAAATATAACAGCAATCGTACTACTAGTACCTTCAAAAAATGCAGCACATGTTTCGTGTTATAATTGCTCGGTCTAACCTGACCATCTCTTATAATCCTACCTAGGTATTCTATTCCGTTGATAAGAAAGGTACATTTCTTTAAATTAATTGAAAAACTTATTTTGGTTAGCGTTTTCATAACTGAATCTAATAAAACGAGGTGTTTGTCAATCCCATCCGTCATTATTGATACGTCATCGATGTAGACCATACTTTTCCAGCATCAATGAAGGATTTTAAGCATTTTAGAGATAGTCTTTTGATAAAAAAATCGGCGCGTTTGCTAAACCGTAGGTGTAATGAATGTGGTCTTATGAGTCAATTCTTCTGCAACTCTAAGTTGATGGAAACCATATCCAGAGAGCTAAAACTGCGAGCATTACCTAACCTATCTATATAGTCCTTGGTCAAGGGGAGAAGATATCTAGTTTTGACGGTTATTCAATTCAATGCACGATAACCTACGACAATTCTATCAGAACCATCATTCTGTTTTTTTTACTAGCAATATCGGACTATCGTATACTGAATCGGACTCGCGAATAATTCCTTTATCGAGCAAATACTTCACTATAATGCATACTTTTAAGTTTTGTCATGCGATAATTTGTACATAGTACACGGGCACATCGGTTGTTAACGTGATATGTATCTCACTATTTTTCACCTTTGTGGTCGCGGTACCGCTTAAAACGAATTCTGAATACTTGCGACCGACATATACACCGACGCGACGTATTAACTTGATCGGACAAAGAAATCAAATTTGTTTGCGGAATATCGTTTACGGTCGCGTCGCTATGAATTATACGTTGGCTATCACCGGTCCTAACATATGTAATACCTTTCCTGTTTAGTACGTCTGTACCGATAATGACTGGCACACTCAAATTATTCCCACACACCACATAAAAATCAATTTCTATGGTTATATCGCTAAACTCGACGGGTAATGTTACAAATGATTCCGATCTTATTTCCATACCACCCAAGCCGCGCAGCAACTGATTCGTAGGCTTTACTTGACACGGGAAATGTTTAACAACATTTTTTGACATTAAGGAAACACATGAACCACTATCGATTAGTACGTCTAATGGTATTCCCGATATGACCGCAGTCGTGACGTCGCGATTTTTATAACTATCCGTGATTTCGCGACAAAAATTGACACCATTATTATTCCGAGAATTTGCGCGTTCCTTAGCAAAACAAGTTTACCTCGGAATGACCTACCTTTTTGCAAAACCCACACTTTAACGGATCGCTACGAGATATCGTCGGTAAGCGATTTTTTTTCGTTACTATAAATCGGGAGTGTATTCGACCGTTTGTTACAATTAAAACTCCTATGACCAAATTGATTACATTCGTAACACCTTATTGATTTTAAGTCTTCGGGATCATATCGACGTTTTAACGGTTTGCGGTTCGAGTTACTATTATTAGAGGGTCGGTCAAATCGATTGAGACCATTAGAATACACTTTCCTATTATGGCTGTTAGAAGGTTTAACAAAGCTCGATAAAAACTCCACTATAGAGTCAGGTGATAATTTGGCGTTAGCAGCCATAGCACGAATTTGTGGATCTGCAATTCCACGAATGATAATAGCCGTAAGCAGCTCGCTACTGAGACCTTTAACTATGCGTAACCTTAAAAGTGATTTACGAGCATACTCAGCATATGTGGTGTATTTATCGGACCCCGTCCACATTACATCATAAAGCATGTTCGCGACATCGACAGAACGTGGGCATAGCGCTTTTAATTCTAATTTTAAATTGGACCACGTGCGAATACTGCTTGTCCATTAGCTAAGCCAGGTGCGAGATTCTCCTTTTAAACAATGTCCGACACGAGCAAAGGCATTCTCTGTCATCCCAATGGTTCGAAGATACGGGCTCTTTCTACCTCATCACACTACGTGTCGAAGTCATGAGCATTCCGATCAAAATCAGAGACAAAATATCGGTTTGATCTGACCTGAGTACAGCCGACAGCGGTCAAAAGACGCTCTACGGCGTTCGTCACCACTTCTTCAGACTGCGTTGATCCCACGTTGCCAGTGTGCGGAGTCAGCGGCGGCGTCCCCACTCGCGAGGGCACAGGCGCACGCGGCGGTGCAGGCATCCCGAACACCGATGCCGATGCCGATGCCGATGGTGTCGTGTTTGGCAGCTCGAGGGCGCGCCTAGGGCCCGAGCTGGTCGTTGCAATGGCTTGCGTCTCCACTGACGCACGAGGCTGCTCCTCCAGCACGCGTAGCCTCCTCAGGATCTCTTCCATCGGATTGGGCGAAGGAGTTTTCCCACGGCGTTTTTGTTTGTTGCGTTTATCGTTGCTAGGCATCTCACAGACAAAAACTGTGCTCGAATATTAAATAAACAACTGAAAGGAAACTAAGTTTTCCTTTATAAAACCAGAAATATAGGCGTACAGCGGCTTTTCGGCCTTCTGATCCCACTTCTGATGTTACAAATAGAAACACAGATTGACTTTTTAAAAAGATTTTAATGGCCTTTGGCCTAGCAAATATTGACTAACTTAAAAGCTTAAAACAAGATTTAAAATAATGACGCTAGTATTCGAGCAAAGCTTCCGCACTCCGTGATGACCGGCGGCAAAAAGGGGCGAGTGACGCCAGCCGCCCTCCTATATAGCCCGGCGCGGCGTCGGCGCTCTTGATTCAGACCTTCTCTTCTAACAATATATATATATATATATATATATATATATATATATATATATATATATATATATATATATATATATATATATATATTAACAATAAAAAGGGAGGCAAGAGTTTCGTGACATACAACTTCTTACTAGTTTAGGCATACAACTTAATACTTCCAATATTATCTTTTTGTGTATTGATGTACAAGTTAGCAATTTTTTTGTAGATAGTAATAAATAAAGTTGGTAGTAAGTAAGGTATTTCTTATCGTTACCGATAACGCTGATTAGCGGTCGGCATATGGACAGGGTCGGATTTAAAATTTATTCATTATATGTTGTTTTAGTTTGCTTTTAAAGATGTTAAAACTATTTAATATTTTTATTTCTTGTGGTAGTTTATTATATATTTTAACTCCATCAAAAAGTATGCTCTGCTTACCATAGTTTGTTCGTACCATAGGTATGTAAATATTATTAGTGTTGCGAAGTACTTTCTTTCCTTTGCCTTTATTTGTTATAAATTTTAATTGTGTGTGTATTTTATTATCTAAAATTTTCTTTATTAGAATACAAGTATATATATATATATATATATTCATAATTTTGGTTTCACTGTACAGTTTGTTTGTAGGTGTAAAGAAGTTGTAATTAAATAATAGTTTTAATATTTTATTTTGGTTTATTTGTAGGTCCTTTAATGTTGTTTTGTAGGTGCACCCCCAAATTTCAACTAGATAATCCAGATGTGGTTTAACTAAAGCATTATAAATTGTACGACGAACACGGTAAAGAAGGCATCGAATACAACCGTAAAGTGAACCCAGTAGAGAAGATAGTTTCGATCTTATTTTGCCTATATAACCCTTCCATGACAAGGTTTTATCTAGTACAAAGCTCAAATATTTCTCTTCGGCTGACTCTTGTATTGTAGAGTTGTCAATGGTGAGAGGGGAACAAAGTAAAGATGGCAAAGTGCATGTGAAACTCAATTATGGAGAAAAAAAAAACAAATTAAATAATTATTTAAAAGATAAGCTTACATGGACATCATAATGAGCATTGTTAGACATTTTCTCTTACTTATGTATAAATATATTTATAAATGTTTTGGCCCTGTTGCAACTGGTAAGCTACCACCTATCTTTGCCAATTTCTGAACCTTGATAGACTCCTTCCTCTTTCTCTTACCTATTTCTGTCATCAAATAGCAGTGCGTGCACTGCTGTGTGCCAGTCTGAAGAGTATAGAGTCAGTATAATCACAGGCTATGGGACATTGCATCTTAGTCGTCAGAGGTGACAGCGCATTGTAGCCTTTTATGTTTGAAGTTAGCTGCAGGCAGTGCGTGGACTGCAGTACCCACTTACCATCAGGTGGATCGACTACATGCCATAAGGTGGACTGTTAGTTTGTTTGTCACTTTATACTAAAAAATATATGGAGAAAAGGTGCTCAAGGCATCCTTGTACTGGCAAGCACTCACCTACTAAAACAAGTTGTGGCAGAACACTCACTAAATGAGGTGAATAAATCATCATCATCATTACAGCCCTTCACAAGTCCACTGCTGAACATAAGCCTCCACCAAGGAACACCACAAAGCATGGTCCTTAGCCACCTGCATCCATCGACTTCCTGCATGTCTTACCATGTCGTCAATCCATCTAGTGGGGGACCACCCTACACTTCGTCTACCGGCACGAGGCTGCCACAATTACGTCACGTTAGGAGAACCTTTCTTCTCCATCGGTTGTCAGTTCTTCGGCCCATTGCCACTTCAGCTTATTACACATAGCTTATTAAACATGCAGTATGGTTATGAAAGTGGGTGGCTCGGGCCCATAAGCTGTGTAAGGGACTGTAGTGATCTAGTCGCTCGGAAAAAATATTAGATTTTATTTTATATATTGCGTCAGAATCTGTTTCATTCTAGATACTGCTGGAAAACAAGAAGACTTGGAGATTGATGCGTTTGAAGATCGACATGAGGATCCGGAGAACGACTTGCCACTAATTTCATTAGGTTCAAAGAGTAAAACAGATGACGTTAACATAGGTAAAATAATTTATTTAAAAAAAAAACAGAATCCTGTTCTATCAAATTTCTGATCTTTTATTACACATGAACAAACCAAATGATTGTTTGTGACCCAAATGAACCAAAATGATTATTTGTAGGCCATACAGTTGTGTTGTTTTAAGCAAGAACTGAATTTGTCGGTGGTGACCCAAGGTGTTATTAAGATAAAACAGGAAAGGGGATTCACTGATTTGTTGATAGGGCTAATCATGAGATCCTGGGTTAGGTAAAAAACAAAATTACACAATAAAAGAAAATTAAAAAATGAAATAATATTTGCAGCAACATGAGTTAAAAGACTGTGAGAGGATATAGATTTCCGACTTGACGTTGATTTCCGGGTCAACCTGTATATATACATATAAAAAATTAACAATTTTATGGATGCTTGTGGAGAACGAATCAGAGTTGTTAGCGTACTGTGAAATTTTATGGCATAATGCTAGCCCCTGAGCTACCAAGGCTTGTTTTGAGTCTTTGTATGGCCTACAAATAATTCCTCTATCTTAATCGTTAAGTAAACTTCCACTGCTGACCACGGAAGGATCTCTCCCGATGTAGGGAAGATTTGCCTCAGTCGTCACGCTTGGCATAGGATTGACGATCGCAGAACCAGACGTGAGCACCTCTTGCAATGTTGCCTGTCGCCGGTCTGGATATTTTACATCTAAAGTAAACGAGATGGTTATACCGCCATCTGTCGGAAAACCAAACCCAAAGTCGTCTCTTACGAAACCCACGGGATAAAATGTGATGATGAGATCTCTTATGCCGCACTTACATGCCAACTTCGACTGTACTGTGTGTGTCACACTAGTTCTGCGTGGAATTCGAAACAGCGATTGTTAGAATAGATTATTAGATTAGAATAGATTATTCTCATACTACTATCTAGAGTCCTAGACTATATTCTTAATATCTACAAAAAATGGTCAAAGTGTATGTATGTATGTATGACACTCTTTCTGTGTGGGATTTGAACTAGCGATCATTAGATTAATGTAATTATAACACGGTCAGAAGAACGTCATCAATATTATTCGAATTTAGATTCTTCACCATACTTTCCCACCAAAAATGAATGTGCTACCCAGGGTAATTGGCTAAAATACTTTATATCTTGCAACGTTAAATGAGTGTAATTATGTAAAATATTATAATTTCTCTATATCTCCCTGGGTTGACTGATTGACAGAATGCCATAAGAAATAAACTCCGCCCGTTGTAAACCGTCTAAGGTATCTTACAATAAATAAAATGTTTGATTCATTTGTATTTCAGAACGGCCCTACATACAAACAAATAATTTTTCAAAACCGTGTGAGAAAAAGATTAAATCAAATTCTAGTGATTGTAACATAAATGATGTTCGTAAAGGAAACCTCGATTTAGAAAGCCCTACTATCAAATCAAAGCCTAAACTGAAAAGAGATACTCAACCAGTTATTAAAAAAGGGAAGCATTCTGCAAAAATCATGAAAAAGAAAATTTTGAAACAGAGTGTAAATATACTCACGGAAAACACATCTGTGGCATCAACAAAATACATTTTTGAATGTGATGATTGTAGAAAAAAGTTTTGTACAAAAGATATTCTCGACGACCACATATCATACAGTCATAAGACGCCAAAGGACTCAGATGCAGTTCAGACACAAGTTGAACAAACTCCAGTACAACAACTAATGGATATATATAACTGTGATATTTGCGAATTTAAAACATCTAATAAACGTTGCATTTTAGCACATTTTAAAGCGCACGTCGCTAAGCAAGTGTACTGTTGTAATAATTGTGATTATAAATGTATTACAAAAAGTAAGTTGCAAAGGCATATGAAAATACACACCGGAGAAAAACCTTTTTCGTGTAATATCTGTGAATTTAGATGCATTACAAAGAGTCATTTTCAAACACATATGAAAATACACACCGATGAAAAACCTTTTTCATGTAATACCTGTGAATATAGATGTATTAGAAAAAGTAATTTGCAAACACATATGAAAATACACACCTGTAAAAAACCTTTTTCGTGTAATATTTGTCAATATAAATGCATAAAAAACTCTACTATGAGTACACACATAAAAATACACACCGGAGAAAAACCTTTTTCGTGTAATATCTGTGAATTTAGATGCATTACAAAGAGTAATTTGCAAATACATATGAAAATACACACTCGTGTAAAACCTTTTTCGTGTAATATCTGTGAATATAGATGTATTAGAAAAGGTGATTTGCAAAAACATATGAAAATACATACCGGTGAAAAACCCTTTTCGTGTAATATCTGTGAATACAGGTGTATTACAAATAGTAATTTGCAAACACATATGAAATTACATACCGGAGAAAAACCTTTTTCGTGTAATATCTGTGAATATAGATGTATTGCAAAGGGTAATTTGCAAACACATATGAAAATACACACCGGAGAAAAACCTTTTTCGTGTAATATCTGTGAATTTAGATGCATTACAAAGAGTAATTTGCAAACACATATGAAAATACACACCGGTGTAAAACCTTTTTCGTGTAATATCTGTGAATATAGATGTATTAGAAAAGGTGATTTGCAAAAACATATGAAAATACATACCGGTGAAAAACCCTTTTCGTGTAATATCTGTGAATACAGGTGTATTACAAAGAGTCATTTGCAAACACATATGAAATTACATACCGGAGAAAAACCTTTTTCGTGTAATATCTGTGAATATAGATGTATTGCAAAGGGTAATTTGCAAACACATATGAAAATACACACCGGAGAAAAACCTTTTTCGTGTAATATCTGTGAATTTAGATGCATTACAAAGGGTCATTTGCAAAAACACATGAAAATACATACCGGTGAAAAAACTTTTTCTTGTAATATCTGTAAATATAGATCTATTAGAAAAAGTAATTTGCAAACACATATGAAAATACACACCGGAGAAAAACCTTTTTTCGTGTAATATCTGTGAATATAAATCTATTACAAAAGTTAATTTGCAAACACATATGAAAATACACGCCGGTGATAAATCTTTTTTCGTGTAATATCTGTAAATATAGATGTATTAGAAAAAGTCATTTGCTAAGGCATTTGAATATACACACTGGAGCAAAATCTTCTTCATGAGGTATCTGGTAAAATATGTACAATAGTTGTGAAAACCCGCTTCGCTGGGTTAATTTTTGTTGAATAATTATTCATGTATGTATGTTTTATTAAATTAGTTTTTTTTTAATTATGAACACGTGACTTTTCTTGTAAAATTTTTAAGTTTTTTTTTCTTACATATGTTTTTATTCATTATACAAAAATACTTTACAGACAGTCATGTACTGAATGCCTATATTACAATACATTTTTATGCACTATACATACTATACATTCTGATGCTCTAAAAACTCTTGTTCTGTGTGCGGTGTGAGAATTCGCATTGTCGTGATGGAGGATGATGCGGCGGTTGCAGTTCTCTTTACGGAGTTCAGAAACGACCTGTGGCAAACAAATGCTAGCATACCATTCTGCATTAACCGCTCTTTGCCCCTCAAGAGGAATAGTCGTAACATGGCCGGTTTTGGAGACAAACGTGGCCACCATTTTTTTTTGCAACACTCCGTGAACGAACAATTTTTGGTGGCTTTAACTCATTTTCGAACACCCAAACTCGTGACTGGTTTTTTGTTTCGGGTTCGTACGCGTATATCCAGGATTCATCAGAGCGAATGCGGTATCCATCGGGAAAACAACTTTTTTACACCTAATTGTTCATGCAAGATTATTTGTATTTGATTCATGCCAATGTCTAAAGTTGCCTGAATTTCGCGGTATGTCACATGTCGATCTTCCTCAATCAGCTTACGCACAGCATCAACGTTTTCTTGGGTGACTGCAGTTTTTGGACGACCTTGACGGGGATCATCACTGAGCTTGACACGTCCACGTTGAAATTCAGCAAACCAGCGATAAATTGTGGTTTTGAATGGGGATTCATCACCAAATGCAGAAATCATCCGGTCAACACATTGTTTTTGTGTTAAACCACTTCGAAAGTCATAATAAATCATCGTTATTGAATTTTCTCGAGTTAATTCCATTTTCTCAACGACTAAACAAGTTTGACAAAACCTTGTGAAAAGACCGGACATAAATAAATGGTATTTGACTTTTAAAACCAAGGAGTTTTCAATTAAAAAGATTTTCATATGACAGGAACAGTGGAAATATTCTATTCCCGATACTTTTAGTGCAGCCATGTACTGTCTTGTGTTCTGGTGAAGACATGAATAAATTTTTTTATGTCCAACGCGCGAAGAAGCTACATAGAGTTGATCATGTGTAAAACGGCATTCTCCCAAATTCACTCCACAATATTGGAACGTTTGACCTTGAACCTTATTGATAGTTATACTGTAAGCCAATCGTAGAGGAAACTGTAACAGTTTGAAAAAGAATGGTAAATCATTTGAAATTAATTTAATTCGTGGTATAAAAACAGATTTTCCTTTTTCTTTGCCAGTTAGAATTACTGCCTCAATAATGTTGTTGAGAATTTGTTTTATACATAATCTTGTACCGTTACATAATTTTGGCGAATTAAATTTTCATAATAATATGACTGGTGATCCAATTTTTAGCTTCAATACATTCAAAGACATACCAGGCGGATTCGGTGAAATTAAAAACTCTGTTGGTAAGTTGACATTTTCGTCCTGATTCATCATTGTGTCTATTGATTTATACAGTTGTTCATCTGGTGTCATATTCCGTATCTTTTCATTAATTTGATGCACTTCATCATTTTTTTGTAGTTAAAATTGCTCGCTCACACAACCATGTCCTATTTAGATAATTCTGTTCAATAGACTGATAAACTTTTTCAATAAGTTCTTCTTCTGTATCTACTACGTTATACAATTTTTGATAGAAGTTTGCCTAACTGTGAATCAATATAGGATATATAATATAGGATAGGTGTCATTGCCAATGTTTAACAGATTTTCAACAAACTCTTGTGCTTCCGGATCTCCAGTAATCTGCAAACAACACGCGCCCTATATAGTCACATGATTCCACGCGCGGGGCACAGTTGTGATCCAAAATATAATGAGTTTTTTAATACATAGGTATACAAATAAAATAATTAAGTTTTTTTATATATAATCAGTTTTTATTGACTTATCAAAATACAACAAAAACTAGTCACTTCTCAATTGAAACAAAAAATAAATAGTATGTGGCTTAATAACGAAAAAACTAAAGAGAAAAGATACTTGTGCGTAAATCAAAGGTTTTTGTCACCATTCGACGACTCATTGGGCTCTGTTACATATTTGTTATAGCAACTAAGACATATAGCATATTTATGCTCGTTGCACACAGGCTTCTGAAATTTCTGACAAGATGTTCTGGTCGACCGTTTTTTGGCTCTTCCGCAGTCGTATCATCTGGCCCTTTTGGTTCTCTTCTTTGGTACATCTTCGTCTTGAGACGTAAAATCACTGTCTTTTATATCTAAAACATCCTGCTCTTTCCCTTGATATCACGAGGTAAGTGTTTAGTCATAAGTCTCAGTCGCATCTGTGGCTCTATAAGTTCAACAGCCACGGAACGCAAGCAGTCGCGTCGAGGTATGCGCTGATGATTGTGATTGACCATTGTGTCAATTATTATTCCACTGATGCCTGCTATATTCACCATGTCAAAAAAATTGTGAGTGGCCAACGTCTGCTATTTCGTACTACACTAAAATGCTTGCACATTTTATCTAAAACTTCAAGACCGCATTTCGTTCTGTTGTACTCAGTAACGATCTCAGGCTTTCTTGCCTCTCCGGTAGAAGGATCATTCGCACCATCATTGTGCATGGTTGATGCTACCAAAACTACTTTTTTGGCTTTGGTACGTATGATACTAAAGTGCATTTTTTTTTGAAAACCAAATAAGGAATGTCAGGTTTGGTAGATTTCAGTGTCCCTATAGCAGTTATCTTCTTCTTTTCTGATTCCATCAACAGTGGTATACTGGTAAACCAGTTGTCGATGGTCACGTTGCTTCCCATACCCTCAAGAGGCTTTACCGTTCTGAGAACGTTTAACTTAATACGGAAAAATCTCCTCTCTAATCTGCATACCACTAGGTACTAGGTACGGAGTGGCGCTGGGAATGGTGCTGCTGGAAGTGGTAGTGAAGGGGATAGTGCATGCAGCTGAGAGAAGGTGGCAGGTGCGTGCTCTTCAGACTAAGCAGGACACATCTTTGTATTATATTACGCGGAAATGAGCAAATTAAGTTCTAACAACTTCAATGTAATGGGTTTCCGCAAAGTAATGCCTGATTCTTTTAATTATCGAAAAAGTTAAGTATTTGGGCATAAAAATCCACTAAAACTAACGTCGAGCTGTCACCTTAGCAACGTATGTAATACGGCTAAAATTGTTGTAGGTACGTGCAGTCGTATGGTTGGCAACAACTTGGGCTTGCATCCCAGTATGATCCTATGGCTGCACAGCAGCATAGTGAGGGCGGTTATCACCTACGCCTACCATAGTCTGATGTAATAAGGCCAACCAAAAGACGACTAGTCTTCAATGGACTGCCTGCTTAATGGAGATGGAGCGATCCGATCATCGCCTGGAGCAACTCTGTTATCTGTGAGGTCGGTAACCTTATATGGTACACCGATGGGTCATAAATGGGCCATTATGGGTCATTTTTTACGTGGTAGAGCCATGCTGCAGTTATATTAGTAGTATAGTTCTAGCACGAATGGATCGGCTCGACCGGGGAAGGACCATGCTCTCACAGAATACCAGCATGAAATAGTAGCTTAATGCTGCTGTGTTTCGTATGGTGAGTGTAGAGACCGGAGACCATTTTTACTGGAAACGAGGCATACCATCTTAGTCCTCACGGGTGACAACGCATCTGCATTTTGATTCGTAATCGAGGATAGATGTAGATGTCTATGGCCCGCAGTAACTACTTACCATCAGGTGGACTGTGTGCTCGTTTGTTACCCTATCATATAAAAAAAATGGGCCTCGACGTGGGCTTGGAATTTTTGGGGAATGTTCCAAATTCAAACTTAGTATTTATTTAAACAGTGTAAAATCAAGACTAAGGAATTTAATTTCAAATTTATCTGGACAAAAAACTGCTGTATTTATGTGCATCGCAATGAAACTTCTCCCCCCATACCCATTATAACGACGGCCAATTTGATAAAAATAGTTTAATTTGTACTGATTGTATAGCGATGTTACTCTTAGTTATGTTACGCATACTTACACAGTACACGTTTCTCACTTACATTCATCATATTATACCTCTTTACATTTTAACACCAAACAACTTGCAATAGTGGATTAAGACTTCTCTATCAGAATGTACGAGGCTTACGGACTAAGACTGACCAGTTTTATAATAATTTATTTCTATCTAATATCGACATCGCTTTAATTACAGAGACATGGTTATGCGACAGTATTCTGGATACGGAGTTGTGCAGTTCTGACAAATACGAACTATTCCGTCGCGATCGCGGCGCGCTCGGAGGTGGAGTGATGATTGCGTGCGCTTCCCGGCTCAGGGCGCGCAGGCGCTCTGACCTTGATCGCAATGATCTTGAGTGCATATACATAACAGTACCGGCGCGTGCGCTTGACTCACAACATGA